AGAAAAAGTTTTTTGCTATGTTAATATTTAAGAATGAACATTTTTTAAGTAGTACAAAATTTGTCTTCACTGATTCAACTTCATATTATATGGCATGGCAAAACCTACTGCCATAGCTAACTTCACCACTGACATTTTATGCAAATCTTGAATGATGTTTCTTTACAAGTACGTCTTTCCAGGGTGGACATGATTTAGAAATGTTCTTTGGAAGATTCTCGCCATGATGTACAAGTTCAATCTCCTCAGTTTTGCATGCATTCACAACCTCGGCAAGGAGTTTATCAACGTACTGGTACTCTTTCTTTTCTTTTATTGCTTTTACAACCCATTGCTTCTTTGTTTTAGCAAAAATCATTTTGTAACTGTCTTGCCCTTTTTTTGTCCCTGACTTAATGACTGCTTTATCACGGTCAATATTATTGTTTCGATCTAATGCTGCTGAGTGCGGTCTACCATTCCAGGAAATGAAAAATGCTCTCGATTTGGGCAGTATTTCAGTAAAAGGGACTGGTAAACCTCCAACTCTCTTGTGTGACAAAAGTCAGATAGCTTCCGAAGGTCTTTTAGAAGCTTCTTGTCACATATCACCTTCTCTGCAGCAATGTATGCTTGTGATGTAGGAAATAACCACTTCTTCTGCTTTGTTTCTCTTTCTGTTAATTGTTGGTAGTCAACATTGATGGAAATATGTGTTCCTCCTCCAGAAATGCTAGTTGGAAATGTTTCCACCAATTCGTCTGTACTCTTGTTACAACTTGCAGAGCACCACCAAAGATGATTAGAAATTGACTTAATCCAATGGGTCAAGTCATCATTTTCTTTAATGATAGCCTTCTTAATTAGTTTTCTTGTGACAGATTTAGAAAAATGCCACACATCGTATTGGTGATCAATATGAGGGTGTTTGTTTTTCATAGCACTGGCAATCGAAATATGTCTATCTGTTGTTATTCGCTTAACAGGAACTATCTTTTCAACTTCAGACAGACATCTTTCGAATGCTTCTTTCTCCATAGCATTAGAAGAATTGACTTCAGTACTTTGCACAACATTAAAAGTTACTATCTTACCAGAGTCAGCCATCATTGTATAAGTACCATACTTGGCATTATGTCCTGGGCTATCGCATCGACCATCAACATTCACATTAAGACTACCAGACTTCTTAGATTCAGCAATAACAGCTGATTTCTCCTCTTTCCAAGCCTTGTCAACAACAGGAAAAGGATGCTGTTGAGACTGCTTTTGAAAGCTGCAAAAACTGGTTTTTCCAATAAATTCGAGATTCATGAAAGATGCAAATTGGCTGATCCTTTCATAAGTGTTTTCACTAAATAAAGTGGATGCAGCCAAAAGCAAATTTCCAACTGGGACATTCCTTATAAGTGGTTGAGATCTCCATGTTTTGTGATGACCATTTATATAAAAAAGATTAAATGATAGCAAACTACCTACAGTGTTTTCTTCACATTCAATTACTGTCTCTCCACAAGAAAGACACTTTGAAAGAAGACTAATAAGACAGGACTTGAAAACAAGAGGAAGAGTTTGCCACAGTGTGTACAAACGAAGCTGTCGTAAAAACAGCTATCGTCGTGTACACACATGGCATTGGACCTATGCCTGAGAGTGAAGAAAACGAGTGAGAGTCTGATCCATTGTAGCTATTGCTCATCGTCGACGTGCTTTCTGTATCAGACCATACAGTGCTATCCTTAAAATGTTCAATTTCACATGACGTCGTCTGTGTGCTATGATTTTTTGTTGAAATGAACTCAACCTTTAAACAAAGTTATCGTATTGCTAGATTTTTCACAAAAATCAAAACGACCGAAATGGAAAGTCCATACCTCTACTTATCATATTTGACACTTTTGTTTGAGTGATTCTTGACCTTACGTGTTTTTGCGGACGGATTATTATGGCTGCTTGGAATTTCACATTGCGCTTCTAAGGTACGTTAAGAAATTTTCTACAAAGAAAAGATCAAACGACATTAGTCTGAATTAGTTACCACTGTATATGTTTGTGTTTCGCTGTTTACATACGTTTTGAAATCTTTATCTTAGAAAAAATTTCCTTTGAGGTAAAACGCACAAACATTTCGAGCCGATGTCGACACATCGTGGTCGTCGCCTACAAGAAAGTCGTCATGTTCTGCAAGAACGTCGTCAATAATCTAAAATTATAAAATTGTCTTCAATTTGGAAATGCTATATAGCTTAGTTTTTGGTAAATGTAAACAAATATTGCTAACTATAGCTATAATATTCACCTCTTGCCTTCGTCTCTTCTCAAATGCAGTTCTAACATTTGTTGGCTGCTTCCTTTTAGATGCTACACTTGTGGGTTCCACAGAGTATTCAAAAATCGTGGGAACAGCATCCTTCTTAAGGCGAAGCCGTCTTGCTGTTCATCCTACTGATTGCATCGCCTCAAAATTTTGCACGAAGCACGAACTCTCGAAATGTTGCGAGCACAATTTTGAGCTCTTTGTTGGCTTCAAATTTTTGCGTCGGATTTTTTCAATCCAAATATCTCGCATGCGCTTGTTTTCGGGAAACGAAAAAAAGAAACCTTTTGCTGCGTTTGGTGGTTTTTGAAGAACCGTTTTTACAATTAAATGCGGCACAATAAACCATATTTTCAATGCTAAATTTTCGTGTTGTTAAAAAGTTACCAATATATTTTGAACGAAGCGCGCAATTGACCGCGTTTAGTTGATGTCAACTATTACGTCACAACGACCTTTTTCCAATCGGTAGCCGTCGTTAGCTCGTCGGGCATTTTCAATACGTTATCAGTAAAGCATCAACTTCAAACCTCCATATCTTCAAAAATATTTATCCTTTGAGTCTCAAACTTTGGTGAACTATTAGTTAGAGCTACACCTTTAAGTAAAGTACAAAAATAACAATCCGAATTTTATGTCGCATGTGTCCTTTAATAATGTTTTACACGATGTATTGTATTAAGATTACCAAAAAATGAAAAGCCAAAAAGTGCATGATTACACTAAATTAATCATTCTAATATAAAATATCAGTATCGATATTCTATTGACTCTGATGTAGGACATTGCATTAATCTTCTTTAAAAAATTGTGTAGCACATTTTTAGTAATCTGTAGAAATGTCATTAAATATGCCATAGGATATTCTATAATATGCTATAGAAGACTCCCCAATTTTTTTTAATTAAATAGAGGGTAAAAATTGCCGAGTTTGGTGGGTACCAGGGTGGCCTATTAGTTTCAAAATAATAAAATATACAGTATGTACATAGCAGACATAAAATGATCAAATTTAATTTGTACACACTTAAAATTTACAATTTGTATATGAAAAACGTAGGAACAAAACTTGTAAATAATGCACAAAACAGACTGGCGGTATATTTTGGAAGTCGTTAACTAACAACTAACTCTTGTATAAACTACAAATGTTCCTGAATCGTGATTTAGGCCTGTTTCAACGTCATCTATTACATGACCTGGGTGCATTGTAAACTAAAGAAAATTAGACAAAAATCCTCATCATCTTTTGCTTTCAATGCATTTGTGTCATGTAAAGTGTGACATATGAAACATTTGTAAAGGAAAGTTATTGTTTTTAGAAGAATTAGTTTTTAGTTGATTATTCACAAAATATACCTTCTTTAATTACACGTTTTGTTCATACATGTTTCATGTATAAAACAACAATGATGTTATGGTTGCTTAGTTGGCCACTTACTTTATATACAATGTACAATATATTGAGGGCAAGAATGTCTAGCTTTCTTGACATGACTTAAATAGCCCTTTTCTTTTTATTGTGCAGGGACAAAGGAAATTGGATAAGAAAGAATATTATGATCGAATAGCGCATTCTTTGAATGTAAGTGAAAATGTTCGATCAATAGCAGAATAAATAAAAAATCATTAGTTTCATTTGAAGCATTTAAATGATTAAGGAGCTTTAGCAAAGACTACGATTACGACTACGAGTACGAATTACGTCATTTTGGCGCGAAAACATTGTTGTGACAACTAAAACAGGTAGCCGTCATCAATCTGAGTACGATGTTTTGTAAAAAATTCGTTGTCGCTCCTACGATGTCTTTTTAAGCAAAGAAAGTAGGTATATTTCCTCATTCTGTAAGAAATTCGTTGACAGTACTATTTTCGAGCATCCAGGCTTTAATTTAGAACCTTTTTTGAGCGCAGATGTACATTAAAAAGGAAAATGTGACCTGCAAAACATTCATGTATTTCGTACGCAAAGTGAAAGGTAAACAAACAATAAAATAATATGTTCTGTTGTTTACAACTAAAACAAAATTTTGACGAAGCGACAACGACAACAAACTTCCTCGTGCCATTCTCTAACACGCTCAAACTTCGTACTCGTTGTCGTAGTCGTGCTCTTGCTAAAGCTCTCTATTGTCTTAGTTAAAGTGATTTAGAGTTAAAGGAAAATTAAATCTTAATATAATTGATAAAGCTGTAAAAAATCTGATAAAAATCGTAAAACATAAAAAGAGCACTGTTTCAAGACATCGAACATCCCTTGGAAAGTTTACATTATTAATGACTGACTGACTCGTGTGAATTTTAGCCACTACACTGCAAAATTTCCATAGAAACATTGCACTAAAAAGCGAACAAACGGTATGATTTGCTCTCACTGTAAGCCTCATACTAATGAAATTAGGTCTCGCTTACTCTATTACCAAGTCGTTTTCTTGAATTTTACTTTTGTTGTCCCTAACCAAGTAGCTAATTACAGAAAAACCACAAAAAATTTAGCCGTTGCAAACGAATGTGCAATGTTTAAAACAATTGTTGCAACAAGAAATGCACTTTTTAACATTGAAAAATATGTTCAATCAGAATGTAGATACGACATTTTTCATTAGTGAAAACAATTGTCTGTGTAATGCTCGTAAATTTTAGGTATATGATTTATCGTTTGGTTGCACATTAATTTCAATACTCGTATAATAAAATAGCATACCTCATCGATAGTAACTTCTACAACATGTTGATGGTCAACTGAAGTTTCAGGGATCTTTGGTGGTGGATTAAACAGGCGGGACCTCTCAGAAAAATAATCATAGTTGGTAAAGATACAACGAATAACGATATTTCCAATGGAAAGACACTTGGGAATCTCTAAAAGCAGGCCTTTTTTTTCAAACGACACCGTCTTTATCCTATTAGCAAAAAAATGCAAATGGTAAAAGTGGCTGTCCATATTACTTAATTTCGAAAGTTATAGCCCTCTTTCGATCCTGAAATTCCACAGTGCGACCACTTAAAATTATAAAATTTTTTATTAGCTATTTCCGACAATTTTACTGTAATGGCAATCAATGGAAATCGTAGTCACTACGGCACTAAATTAAAAAGAATACAAATTTGTCATCCTATTAGAAACTATGTGTTGAAAGCTATTACCTTGCAATTGGCCACGAAGTAACAAAATTGAGAACCAACTACGGTTTTTATTATTTAGCAGCCGATGTATCTAATGTGCTAATGTACTTTACAGAAAAGCTTGATAAACGGTCTGCAACCGTTTTAATTAAACTTTTGTGTTTGGTTCTCGGTAAAAAATTTACTACATATAAACTTTGCAAAAGAGTGTCCCTATCAGCAAATAATTTTATTAGAAACAATAAGTGCGCATGTTTTGCAGAAAGTTTTAAGGGAAATAGGAGGTTGAAATGGTTTCCGTGACAGTAAAGTTGTTGAAAATAAGGAAAAAATTCTAATAAATTAAGAATAGTGTGAAGTGTTTGATAGTGTGAAGTACTTGGAAATTAGCCTGCAAACAAGATTAAAACAGCTAACAAGGAACTGGAACATATAGGTTAAAATATGGCATACAATGCGCTCAAGCTAACAAGGCTTTAGAAAATTTGGCCAAGCGTACGTAAATGACGCATGGGCATCCAATCTGCACTGTTATTCCGTTCGGTACTTCTTTAAACCTTGTAATTTTGTGAAAGAAATTTTCAGTTTGCTCAAATCATTCCATTTTAATGGAAGTTCAAGCAAGGTGTCAGGAAGTCGTTTATTTGGTCCAAATATGTAGCAGCATGACCTTGCAAATTTAAGTTATCAGAATTATTAAAATTGATCAAAAGGCCGGTGCAAACAAACGAACGGAACAAAGAGACATTGGTTAAAGAACATAAATTAGGCTTTCAAAATGACACAGACTTACTCAAATCAAACGAGGATCGACATGCACAGTTAACAGCGATTATGACACAAAACATATCACAAATAAGCCTGCCTACATCCGAGCCCTTTTTATGGCAAACCGTAGTATTATTTTTCTAGATTTTCTGTCATTTTTATCGGTACTCTGATTATTGCGGCTGGAATGACGAGAAACGATTAAGAACTTTTTCCCTATTACTAGAAGACAACGCGGGTTTTTTGTCTTCAAAACAAGACACAACAAAATGTAAACATATAATGACTTTAGTGAAAGCACTTAAGACCATTTATACTACAATAAATCCTTTGCGACCTTCTTTAAACTCAATATTATTCATTACATTCGAGCTGGTGCAACCCTCGACCTTCGGTCTCGGGCTTGCACTGATCTGCTCTCGAGTTCTCCCAAAGTTGCCTCGGTTTGCATAAGCCTGTGCAAACACAGTAAACATCTTTTATTTCTTAAATAACACAATGATAATGCAAACAGTTCTCAATGTCTTGCCATGCATTAAATGTGACCAAATAAACAGAAAAAAAGTATATCAGCGAAATCTTGTTTAAGACTTGCAAGCGTTTCACAAACTGATTTGACTTGATTTGGCAGAGTTTGTTAAAAACTCTCCTGGTTTAATGCAAGGACATTTTCATATTTTTTTTGTGTCATGAGAATTTCTAGCTAGTAATTACCGGAAAAAGACGTGGCTAGGCCTCTGTTTTCTGTCAAAGCATAGAAAACGTTTTGGCTTCAACACAAATTAATATAGAAGCTTCTGCATTTATATTGCACAGTAAAAATTTATAGAATTTGATTTTGCAAAAAATATCAAGAAATTTTTACCATAAAGCAAAATTAAGTTAGTCAAAAACCTACCGAGGATTTCTTGATATATTTCCCCAGATGTTGAAACAAATAAAACGAGATGCTATTTCCAAGTGTATGTTTTGAGTATCAACGTCGATGTAATCATCCCCTGACTTGAAATAAGTAAAAATGACAAATACGTCGAATGAAAGTTTCTCCTGTAGGCTCCAAATGTTTTTTGATTACAAAACTTTTTAGGCTATAGTGCCGTGATACAAAACTGATAACCCTTACCTTAAGGACATGCATCGTTGCCTCATCTAGTTTGACGCCAATCAATAATTGAAGCTGCGTAATAGACTACCAAATTATACAGATAAAGTTAAATGAATCTGAAAGTGGATTTTGTATAAGTTTTCAATGCTTTAATTCAGTTGTTATAAATATGAATAAGCATAGCAAAAAGCATTGTTTCTGTTGAACACAGCTATGAATGGTAATCATTTCATTGGACTTCAGGCTTGGTTAATAAAGAAAGTGTTTCAACACGATTCAACGCAAATTTTGTAGGGTGACAAAATATTTACGAAAACTCAAAAAATTAAATATCCTATATAATGCAAGTCCAACCAACAAAAATTTTTAAGACAATGAAATCATAACAAGGTTAGAATGCAATCTTGATAAACTTCATACTTCACAAAAATACGAAACCACGCTGCCGAAGGTTTAAGGAAGTTAATAGAATAAATTTATATACTCACTTCTTTATGCCTCTGTATTTCACCATAAGCTAAACATGGCTCCTCGTCAAGATAATGCTGCAGTTCATTAATCAGCTAAAAAAGGATTTGTCTGGTTTACAAAAACAGCAAAGAAGTACCAAGGCGTTTAATAATTTTTTGCTACTTATGATGCAAAGTTTTATGAAATTGGCAGAAAACATGCAAATCTGAGGTTAATATAAAAGATAAGAATTAAGAATAGCCACTTTGAACTTATCAAAAATACTTTCCCAGGAATGACTGTCAATTAAATAACAACTATAACTATCAAATATTTTAAATTCTTCGTTTTCAACAACGAGGTCGAATTTTGTGCGTCCGCCATGATGGCGGACATGATTCACAAAATGAAAAGAATATTCTACTAAAATAAGGAGTTAAGAAAACATGCAGAGCAATCGTATATTAATTTTCTAGTATTTATGAATTACGCGTACCATTATTGCATTTTGACAATCCTGAATTGTTTTATGCACAGGTTTGCTCTCAGTATTTTCACGCCATAGATTGATATACGTGTTAATCTCTTTGGAATCTCTGGGATTAGGACTGCCGTCACACATCATGTACCTTGACCACTTTGGAAAATGCAAATAATTTTGGCACAACACTTTGCTAGACATAACTCAATTTAATAGCATACATTTTTTACACAAGTTCATCTTTTCAAATCATAAAGAAATTGAACTTTAAAATAAAATAAGTAAACAAAAAATTCACTAGAAATAACGCTTATCCTTGGGTATCGTTTTGCCAGACGTAATTCCCGATACATTGGCGAAACATCACGGCATTTGTCTAACAAAATCAGGGAACACAAATATCGACAACTTTTATAACTACCTTCATTCAAAACTATAATCATTCACCTTCTTGTTTTTAAATCTTTGAAACTGCAAGCACTACATATTCATTTAAATTGAAGGAAGTCCTTTACGTTAACACAACTAACTATATAAACACAACGTTCAATTTTTACGTTTTAACACCATTATGGCTGTATTTAGTTATTTGTGAAACGAAATTTTATTACAGTTTTTTTATTGTATTGGAAAGAACAAATAACATGACTTGACGACCTCTTCAGTAGAATCGACTTATTGAACTTTTTTCAAAAGATGTTGGTCTTTTTTTATTTATTCAAATGACATTGTTATGACATCACATAGCACAATGACGTTTAAGTAATCATCAATTCTCCACATTGGTAGAGAATTTCATCAACCAATACTACGGTTTTACAAACATATGTGTCGACGAATATTTGTAAAGATACAAAGTTAGATATTTTAATGTTAATTAAAGAGAGAAAATTTTAATTTTTCGTGATATAATTATTAATAAGGTGACATAATGATGTCATTCATTTGCACATTAAAAAAAAGTTACACATCTCCAAAAAGAAATAATACGACAGAATTCTATTAAAGAAGTTATTAATCACTTAAAATGTAATCAAAAAACACTACGGTTAAATTTTGTCTCATAAACATTTTAAATAGACACATCATTATCTGAAGCCAATATTTCATTACGTACAATTGACGCATATTTGTCAAAATTATCGCTGTATCATAAAATACAACTACATACATTGTATCATACTTAATATTGTTGTCAGTGAGGTGCCAGGCGGGAAACGTATTCTCAATATAAATATCAAATTACTCTTGAAAAGTTTGACTAGCTTTTCAGCTTTGAGTTTTCTCCTCAAGGAAGCAACAGAAGAGCATCAGGAGAGGCTTTAGGCCTTTGTCGATATTTAGAAGCAGTGGAGGCAAATGAAGTCAAAAGCAATTTGTTGGATTTAACAACTGATGGAGAAAGTGAAATCATGATTTCACTATCTGATGTTTTGAAGTTCATCACTGGCAGTTTTATTGTTCCTGCAACTGGATTCGTTGACCAGCAACTTATACAGTTTCAGCACCTTGAACCTAATCGAAAGCTTCACGTCAACACTTGCTCGAATTCTCTTACTTTACCAGTTACTAACACCATGATAGAGTTTGAGTCATTTAAGGAGGAGTTCACTTCTTGTTTGGTGATGTCTCCAGGGTTTGGAAATGTTTGACTATGCACAGCAGGCACACAACACATTTTAAATGTTTTATGCATCCTTATTTAATAAATTCATGATGGATTTTAATTTAAACATCAATATTCAAATTGTAGTTATGTTTATTGTAGTTATGTTATGGTTATTTAGATAATTGTTAAATTCTAATTTAAAGTTTTCTGTTTTGTGTTTTCATTAATGATTTTCTGTATTTCAGATTGAAGCTCAGTTACACTTATTGAAGTAGGCCTCAAATTATTCTTTTGTGACCTTGTTTTACAATTGAAATTGAGTTGGGGAGTGGCTAATGTTGAATGGACATGCCATATCAAAAGTCCTTTGTATGATGTTTTGTTCATCTTTTGTTTTTGCTGAATTCTTGAAAAAAATATGTGAATAAAAAGTTGTTAAATCGCACTTGACATTTTATCCCTAACACTGTGTTCTATACTTAGACTAGCTTTGCTAACTCATTAGCTGGTGGTGTGTTAAGGTCCAAGCTATATGCTTACTATCCATTAAATTACAAATCTACTTTTGGCAATTATATAATTCTTGTTTCAAAACAATCATAAAATATCTTTCCTGGTATCAGTGTTATAATCTACTCGTTATAAAGTAGTAGATTTTGAAAGAGTTGCAGAGATTTCTGCCAAGTGTTTTGCTTTCCAAGCTCCTGGACTTTAACAACACGAGTAAAATAATCTTGATAAACATTTTCTACATTTATTTCTTCACAATGGTATGCTAATTCTTGCATTTGTGCATCTGTAATAGGTTGCACTGATTTTCACCCACAAAGCGTTCAGGCAGGAAAAAAAGCTCCTCAAGCATACCCGCAACTGTCTCATGTCCAGACTGGCGAATACAATGAGTATTCCAATGAACTCAAAAAAAACCCAGGTCTTTCTGTGAAATTTCATTGAAGCAAAAGCTGATGCACTCATCATGATAAACGTTCCCACAGATGTACACAACCCTATCACACAAATCCTTAAAAAAGCGAATCCACCATGACGTTCGATAGCGTTTTAGACTTGACCTTTCGCATTCAGTGCGGTGGTTACCAGTAGAACGAACGTAAGAACGTAACGGTGTGACTTGTTACCAGAAACTTAACTGTTCTACTAGTTCTCAGAAAACATTGAAGATTTGCTATATCAACGTTTTCCGTGCCTGGGTCTGTTGCTAAGATCTTTGGACAACCACCTAGATCTGTAATACAATCATAATAATATTTTGCAATGACAGATTGCTTGCTAATTGTGCGCGTTACTTTTAACCAATGTATTCTGCGACTGTAACCATCTATGACACCGTGTAAAGGAAATTTAAATGGTTTTAACTTGTCGTAACCATCAACATGCCAGAATCGATTGGAGCTAGAAGATGTGTACATTCTTCTTTTCAATGCATGGGGTTTTCGCACTTACGTACCGACAGGATCAACCATATTTTAAAATCTTCCCTCACGAATTCTTAGAATACTACTTTCTATTTTAGACGAAGGGTATGACACAACATTCTGTATCCCGAGACAACACTCGGTCCATTAATCTCTTTTCTGATAACTCTGGTAACTTCAATATAACTCACCGCTTCACCAGTTTTTCGTCGCAAATTGTATTGCTTATGTCGTCTTTTTAAAGTGGACATAGACATATTTACAGCATGATGTTTTTGAAGAAAACAAAATATTGTTTCATAATCATAACAAGCACAGAAGTAACTCTCAACAATATCCTTCTCATCAGTTTCACCAATTGTAGTTGCTTGACGTACAGATAAAAGACCGTGACTTCCAGTCCTTGTACCACAATCTGGGCAAAATTATATGTTTCTTCCAATAAGCATTCGCATGATGAGCAGAAAAGGTGAGCCGCCATATTGACACAAACAAAGTTCTAAGCGAGAGCATGTTTTTTTAATTTTAAAACAGGTTTCGAAATTATTTTAATACTCTATATTATATTTACAATGTGACACTTATGGACCACCGTATATTAGTGATTAATCTTTAATATCAAAAAACAGTTAAATACTTTCCAACACATGGCAGAGTATTTAATTGTATTCCTTCTCTAAATTTGGCCGTTGACACGTATTTTGTTTCATTGTTTTTTATTGTAATCAGCACAAACAATATTTGTACTTCGTACAAGATTAAAACGCGGTTTTTTAAATATTCATTTGCTGTCTGCGTTACACTTAAACTCGCTAACAGTTTAATGTGATCAGAGTAAACCAATTACAAACATTGCAAATAAGTACTCAACTGGACAACGTTCTCACGAACGAGATATAATTGATGTTTGTGATCGTCTGTAAAGCCTGCATTTGTGCATCTTGACTTTTTAGTCATAACTCTTTTTATATCACGATTGCAAAGTTTTATGAAGAATACGATTATTCGTTTGCACAACCGATAAATGAAACTCGTGTGTTTCTACGCATGCATGCAAAGAAGACAAGCAATGTCATATTTGTGTTTATACATTTTGGCAGTGTTGTTTTCTAGTTACGTAATATTTCTTAACAGCATTTAGATACATAACTATGTCTCAAAATGATTGAACGTTGATTGCTTCTGACTACTGATTCATCTTTGGACGCTTCACACATAACAAGAATAATATTGTATGATTGCACACGTTTTTAGAAAATATCATCAGCTGCTGGAACACATTGGTACATAAATAAATCATCGCAAACGACCAAATTGTATCTAATGCGGAGACACTTGTGTGGCTCGATTAAAATGGCTATATGTAAAACAACGATGGGGGATCGGGAAATGGAATAGAGGAATGGGTAACCGGAATGAGAAAAGCCGGAATCTGTAAAACCCGGAATGAGAAAAGCTGGAATCTGTAAAACCCGGAATGAGAAAAGCTGGAATCTGTAAAACCCAGAATGAGAAAAGCTGGAATCTGTAAAACCAGGAATTAGAGAAACTCTATGTCATATGTATAGAACAACGATAACTCCAAATAATGTTAGCCTTTTGATTCTACGTTTTGACGTATAATAAAGTGTTATATTATTTAGAGTCACCACATACGTATTTATTATGATCAAGACTAGCAGACCACTTCAAAAAACAGATAATAAAACGAATTAGAGTCCCGAGTAAGAGGTTCTAATCAGACTTTTTTTATTTTGCTCTTTCGATATTGTACGTAGAGATTTGACAGTTGACATGCATAATTGGCGTATCTTATAATGTAACACAATATTAACAGATTATAATTGATACGGATATTCAAACTTCTTATAAAAGTGTAATGGAATAAACCATGTTTAAAGATACTTGAAGAAATATCGTATGACTAATGCCTTCTGCAATCGTATTTAAACAATCGGATATAGAATAATAAGGTGTGTGAAAGCTGCTTTTCTCTCAAGACTTCCGCTTAATACCCAAGGCATGTCTACTTAAACTCCACAAGTAATCGAGTTATTGTTATTGTCAAAATACTTAACACGATAAGCCTTGTTTAGTAACTGGAAATTAACTGACAGAAAGCATCGTCTTTCATAAACTGTAGAAACTGATTATATAATCGGAGGGCTACCTTTGCGTAAACACTGCACTTCTTGCATGAACTCAGTTACCCAAATTTTATCTCAAGTCACACAAGTGTCGCTTGTGTTTAACCACATTATCAGAGTGCTATTTGTTTTTTTTTGGCCAATGTTGAAATTATTGGTACTAGTTGAATCGCCTGAGTTTGAATAAGTACAGTGGGCAAGTTAAGGATACTTGCACAGGTACGTTTTGCAGAGTTATATAGCGCGCATTTTGCCATATTTTTGCTTTAAATACCTCGAGGCTTAACATTTCTTAAATATAAATCGTTCACTTTATTTGAACGAATTTATATCACGACTTCATATCATTGCAGACACTGCAAACACAGCTTCTCTCATTCATTCCAGGTTTTACATGATTTAGGTGTTTCGCAAAATACTGCTCGCATTAAGTTTAGTCAGCTTAATTATCTCATATAGATTCCAGCTTTTTCTCTATCTGGGTTTTAAAGATTTCGGGTTTTCTTATTCCAAGTTTTAAAGATTCAGGCTTTTCTCATTCCGGGTTTTACAGAATCAGACTTTTCTCATTCCGGGTTTTGTTATTCCTCCATTCCTTTTCCCTGTTCCCCATTCCATGTTTTACAGATAGCCCCTTTACAATCCAAATACAAGTAACGTGATAATTAATCACGTGAGACTGGCGTCATTTCAATCGACGGGCAACTAAAAGTTTGGATCCTTTGCCACCTACACAAAATGCACTTTGTCTCCTTATTAAACTTGCACATTTACAAACGTTTTTATGGAAGAAGGCCTTGAAACCATGCGCTATTCTCTCGAAGCCAAAAGAAAAGGAATGGAATTTTAACAACGGCAACATAATGCCTACACTCATGACAGAAGAACCAGTATCAGCACCCTACGGTTGTTCCAGGGAACGTGCACTTGGAACACAAAGATGTACCTGTGTTAGCTAATTGAAAAAACCGTTTGACAAGAAGAAATTACCTAAGCTTTGAAAATATTTTACATTGATGTGTTTTAATGGTATTTTATTTCATCGAGACGAATAATAAAACAATTATTGAATTCGATTTTCACCTGATATCATGAGTTATTCAGACCTTGGTCAACGTTATCTTCGCTACGGCAAATAACCTTGACTTCGGTCTTAATAATTCTTGATAATATATGCTCAACCTCATCCATTAATTGTTTCTTAGATGTTGTGGAGTAAAAATGTGTACGTAAAAAAAGCGCAAGACTATAATAGATTTGTTTTAACTCATATTCCTAATCACTTACTTTAAAGTTTTCCTTGTTAGTTATCTCTGCACTTTTTATTTCATTGAATTTCTCACGCAGCAACTCATTGAGTTCATCGACTTCAACTTCATGGGCCTCACGTTCCTAAACGTTTGCAACATCAGGTTTTTTATAAAATGGCATTGTTGCTTAGAAACAGCGATGTATAAAATGAATAGACGTTTTCCACATCCAATTCAGCAACATACAGATGGGTTTCAGATCGATCTCAACTACTCTTAATTCAAACACATACTAATGATAATCGGAATGGTCATGCAACTTTCAGATGCCTTCAATTATCTAATAATCGGGAGTGAGTATCCCAGAATTGGGTATCAAAAATGTCCAAAGAAATTTCAGACATTTGCAAACGATAATCAGACGAAAAAAACACCACGTAGATATTAAAAAATGATGATCAAAAATTTTACAAGAGTTGTTCACTTTCAAAAAAACGAATTAAAACATGTGCTGATAACGCAAAAGAGAATTAAAATAAAGCAAAGGGATTGTTGGTGAGGAAAAATTCAAGATCCTGCAAAACAGTGAAAAACATGGAATGACAATAGGGCAATCAAAGTTTTTCTTAAATAACTTGTCAAGTTGATTTGAAGCTTCATGCCACTATTAAGCCTGCTGCCCAATGGCTCAGCATTTATTTCACCGTGTGCGCTTGGTTTAACTGAGTTTTTTACCTCAGGTCACAAAAAGTTGGATATCCAACATGTTTCATACTTTTCGCCAATAGAGAGAGTAATTTCACCGTGTTCAGGTAGTTGTGAGCTACATACGGACCGAACTAAAATCAAACATGCAATAAGATGACGCTTTTATATCACATGATGAAATAAAGATGGCCAAGCAACTATAGAGATTATCCGGTTTACTATTAAAGATGATATTGATAACATTACATAATTGTAGATTATGCAAGTCTGCGTAGCAGATGATGTATAATATTAATTATACGAGAAATATTAGACGAGATTTAACAATGCATTGTCTTTATTTCACTCTTTAACAATGTAATTACAACAATGCAGGGCAAAGTAAAGTAACAAATAACATAACATAACGCTTCACGGCCTCAACCTTTAACCGCTGACCAGTGGCTTGCTCTTCGTCTTTTTGTTTCACTCTGCAAGCATGGGGGATGAAGAGAATTTATCAGATTTGGAAATGATTGAGCATCTTGACGCATCTGTGACGAAAAGTAGTAACGAAGGTAGGCAAACAACCCCTACCCGTCTCGCTCAGGCTATTGTGGCAGATCGGGAGTTCGTTGCCAAGATTCCAGCAACAATTTGTGCTAATAGTGCACCAAATCTTAACAAGACTTTTTCAGGTTCATGAGACAATTGCTTAAATTGTCCAGCAAAGTGCGAAGGTCATATCTATATTTAATGTTGGTGACGTTGGAAACGGAGGGCGACCTATGCATAGGTGTAGTAAAAGAGGATACCAAGATTGTGCTGGCTACACTGGAGCAACTAGAACTAGAAATAGTACTTTCTGTGTTCTGAGCAACTGAAGGCATCGTCCTATTAAAGCGCAGAGAGGAAACGCATAGCCTCGAAGGCTTGCCTAATCTAAAGCAAACGCATCTCGATGTATTGCTATGGGATCCGGTTTCCAGCTGACAAACTTGGGAGTTGATGAGTTAGGCGAGGGCAAATAAGTCTCCATCGAGCCCCATATTTTCATTAATGCCTATAACATTGATGGGTCCAGTTTCCAATCGCTCGAATCGACTAAATTCCTCGATGCCCAATCCGCTCTGACATTCCGGTGTCCTAGCCAATGTTGAGCAGATGCTTCCATTCTGTTCTGGATGAACCAGTCCCACAGTTGTAGTGCTAGATTCAATAAAGCCTGCGAGTGAGTACCTCCCATCTTGTTTATGTACGCTACTGCGGCAGTGTTGTCCATTAATAGTTTTAAGTGTACACAAACCTTGTTTTTTGTAAACGTCTTGATGGCCAGTGATCCTACCAGCAATTCCAAGCAACTGATAAAAAAAACTTTATCTCCCTGAAATCCCAGGACCACTTCCCCCCCCCGTACTCACACCTAAACAGTGCACCCCATCTCTTTCGTGAGACATCTGTCTCGATAATGAGATCTATAGGTTTCTGGAACAAGGCTTTTCTGTTCCAAGCATGGAGGTGATCCCTCCACCAAGCCACCTCTTCTATGGCCGCTTGGTCTAATGAAACCATTGCTTCGTAAGAATTTTGTGTCCTTATAGCATAGTTTTTTACTCTTTGCAGATATCTGAAATGCAAGGGGACTGGGAAAACGGCCTGAATAGATGAGGTCTGGAGCCCCGGGAATTTTGATAACTCTCGAATGAATAATTCTGGTTGTTCGAGTACACTCTTGCAACGTTTCCGAATTTTCCTTTATTCGTCCCTTGGTAGAAGGAGCGAAAGGTCCACGGAGTTTATTACAAACCGTACAAACACACCTGAGCCGGTATTAATTGGGACTTTTTGTAGTTTATTATAAATCTCAGACTCTCGAGAAGATTCAGAGCTGACGCTGCCTAATGAAGCGCCATATCTGCGGACTCTGCCATAATAAGGATATTATGGAAGATTCTTTGTAAAGATTCTTGGCGCTGAAGCTAAGCCAAAGGGAAGGCAAACAAATTAGAGCATGCTGTCTTTCCATAGAAAGCGAAGGTACTTCTGATGGCCTACCCAAATTGGTACGATTAAATAGGCATCCTTGAGATTTATTTTTATCAACCAATCCCCTTGCTTTAAAAGTTCTTTTAGCATGTAAGCACACTCCATTTTGAAGTACTTGTACTCTAGGTATTGGTTTAGAGGTTTTAGGTTGACCACTGGTCGGTTCCCCTCGTCCGGTTTTAGGACTACAAATACTAAACTTATAAAGCTCTCAGAATGAGCTTGGGGTTCCACAATGTGTACTACCTACTTGGTTAGAAGGTCCTGAACCTCTTGCTCCAAAACTGCTTGCACATTTCGGGTGTTAATGACAGGTTTCTGGCCGGGACCTGCTGCACTGGACGTTGATGAAATTTGACTTGATAGCCCTGCACTACTTGCAAAACCCACGGGTCTAGAGTAATTTTTTCCCATACCGGTACAAAATGTTTTAGACGAACAGCGTGTGGCATCTTCAAACTGTGTTGTAAATAGGGAAAATCTAAAAACATACCTGGAAGAAGTTCCAATGGTCTGATCAAATCTGCTTGGGGTTGAACGACGTTGGGTTTTGAAATGGAGGGGAATGGTTTCTGCCTCGGAATCCTTTTCCCTGACTGAACCAGTACGTCCTTGTTTGCATTTGGCGGTAGTTTTAGCATGAAGGCCACGCACGGCCCCACACGATCGTGGGATACCACGAGAGGCCGCCCCACGAAAAAAGGGTTTACCAATCTTCGAAGCCTTTTTGACCGTTTCCGCTGTTTCTGAGCGCAATTTGAGGCGTTGTTCAAAACCGGAGCCAAATAGCTTCCTTTTTGCCTCAGAGAAGGGGTTGATTCTTTTCAATACTAACTCTCTGCGATCTGTTGCAACACGAGTGGACACATCTCCTACTAACAGCAAACTGTGTCTAATACAAGTTTAGAAGGCGACGACACTGTCCTTCTCTAGTTAAATAGAAGTCTCCTCAGTACTGTTAGAATTCAACATGGATAGGACGTACACCGTTGCTAAAGGACCCACGATGTCCAAAATGTTATGCTGTAGCTCCCTTAAAGGTTTGTCTGGTGCACTTACCCCTTGGACAAACGGTTTTAGATACTCGTCTAGGGATGGGGTATAAATAGAATCCACATTAGGGCGGGGATACATCTTTATCAAAGTCCTCCGTTCATAGACGTTTTGATACTGTTCCTAGGAAATCAGACAACTCCTCACTGGCTTCCCAGCGGGAGTTTGGAGATAGTAATTCATCATCCCCTGTTCCACGTTCCAATCGTCTTGAGCGGTTAGCTCCAAATTTTGAGGTAAACATGTACGCGGTCTTTCAGCTGGCAAATCGAGCTCGAGATCTTGTTCCGAAGCTCGTTTCTCTGCACCCACTTGATCCACTGATACAACGGGTTTATCTGCCGCAGTGTTCTCAAGTATACCCGTTTGATCCAATGATACTCTGGTATTATGTTTTTCTGCCTGACCTTCGGTCACTGCAGTTTTATTTCGATTTGTAACTAGCCCGTACGAGTCAGGTTAGACTTGTTAAGATTTGGTGCACTATTAGCACAAATTGTTGCTGGAATCTTGGCAACGAACTCCCGATCTGCCACAATAGCATGAGCGAGACGGGTAGGGGTTGTTTGCCTCCCTTCGTTACTACTTTTCGTCACAGATGCGTCAAGATGCTCAATCATTTCCAAACCTGATAAATTCTCTTCATCCCCCATGCTTGCAGAGTGAAACAAAAAGACGAAGAGCAAGCCACTGGTCAGCGGTTAAAGGTTGAGACAGTGAAGCGTAATGTTATGTTAATTGTTAATTTACTTTGAATTGCATTGTTGTAGTTACATTATTAGAGTGAAATAAAGACAATGAATTGTTAAATTGAAGTCGAGTATACCGAAATGTAATATGACTCATAAAATTAGTATTATTTATTATCTCAATGCATGCAACACTGTGAAATTAGTTAATCCATATGCGAAGAATTAACTATTGAATGAAAAAATTGGTATTTAATCAACAGTTTATGACAACGTCACAGAAGTCTCACTCTTGTAGGAACCTTTGAAGTTTTTGTGCTCGCTCATGTCGCTCCGGGCATCTTAGCCGCCATGTTGAAAGAAAGCCTCCTTCGCCAAATCAATATACGCTAGTATGTTAAAAGTGAGAATAGAAAACCTTATACAGCCTTTAATGTCAATTTTTGGTCTCCAACACAATTTTTATTGTCAGAAAATGCAATATAATGATAGCTGAGATATTTATATGCTCTGAAATGCAATCTATGATAATTAAGATTGGATCTATGATAATTAAGATTGGATCTATGATAATTAAGATTGGATCTGAGGTGCGTTTTCATACGCTCTACAGAAGCTCATGTTTGTTGTGTTTGATGGTTTCGTGTCGGAATTGTATGTTAGGCTT